TGGTATTGGCTGCGGCTGTAGCTTGGTGGTTGGAGTTTTCAAGGAGTTTCTACATGTTCTGGCTCAGATTTTGAACTGGTTCTAATCATCATATCTACAATTGTTTAATATCGTCTTTTCTTTGTTGTTCAAGTTTTTCCAACATCCTGCTTCTATCTCTGGTTTTCCTGTCCAAGTTGCTAGCTTGACTCATGATTTCTTGCTGAAATCAATTTGTTTTCTGTACGCTAGTATTTCACATCATTGATATTGGTTTCTTGTACACATCCTGATGAACTTAATGCCATACGCCACATCTGTTAATAATTCAAATTTAATTCTGAATTCCAAAATAATTAGTTTGTTGTAATAATAGAGAAGTTTACATATTTTTGGACAAATTTTGCATGTATTTTTTAAAAAAAAAAAACCTAATTTTTGCATTTGAAAACATAATGCAGCTGTAGCTTTTATGTTCCCTGTAACATCTTCTACATACATGCTGTCAAGAGTTGGGTATTGAGCTTCGATTGTTTATATTGAGATGAACTTTTTCAAAGATGGGACATCGTCGAGACTATGCAGGGTGTGATTGTCGGAGTAGAAATTGCTTGTGTCAAACTTTGATTTTTAGATGATTACGAAGCATTGATGTTGTGACGGCATTGAATGTCGATGTTGCAATGACATCAGATGTTCTTGTGAAATCCTAGCTGCGATGTGCATGATAGAAATGAAAATTGTATGTTTAAGGAATGAGATATTAAGTGAGAAATTGATTTGGGGGCTCGATCTTGAAAGGAAATATAAAATTTAGTTTTCTTTTTAATACATAAAAATTTGAATATTAAAATTATAAAATATTTAAGACACGCATGTCGAACACGCATGTCCAATTTATTTTTAATATTATTTTGATCGAACATGTCTTTGGTGTGTCTGACACGTATCAAAGACTTGTTGGACGTGTGTTTGGATGTGTGTCGTATCTGATACGTGTCAGACACTGCATGTCTCATTGAGGAAAAGTATTGGTGCATCACAGGCCATCAACTTTTGTTAATCCTTGTTCAATGTATTTCCTCCCTGAAGTATTAGTATTTAAAGTTTATTTATGTGCACTTGTTGTGAGGATTTTTCTTTTGAATTAGTTTGAGAAGCGCAAGGTACCGACATATGAATCAAACTAGAACTTTTAGAGATTAATTGAGATACTTGCTGTGCTAACATGATGAATCCAATAAACACCAATATAATTTTCAAGCCTAAACCACTTTGAGAATTGACCCCTCCAGCTACTGTAAAAATGTTAATTATGGAAGTTTTGGCAAAAATTTTACTCCAAAATCCCGGCGACTTTTCAACGGACTTCTGATTGATTTCAGATGGATTTTCAATGAAATATTTATGACAAATTTTTCGGCGGCTATGCGACAAACTTTCGACGGATTTCATACTCGTTCGTCACCTACCTATGCCAACTTGCCCCTTGACGTTGCTACCATGCTCCCTATGCTGCACCGATACGGATACGGCAACACGGATATGACACGATACAGATACGAGACACGTCAATTCTTAAAAATACAGGATACAGGTACGGCACGGACACGGCGTTATAATTTTTAAATCATACATAAAAACTAAGAAAGCAATCAAAACATAAAATTTGAAATTACAAAACAAAAATGAAAACAACATCATTTATAGCCTTGTATCTTATAACATCAAAATATAAGTAAGCATTAAATGTCTAGTACAACAACAAAAGCACAAACATATTTTGTCTAGCACACGAAATTTCAACTATTCAATAGAAGGAATGATATGATTAGCATCTTTAGTGGTTTGTCTTTGAACTTCTATATCATCTTCAATAAATATCATAGCTTCTAATTCAAGTTCATCAAGTGAAAGATTAATTTATAATATTCCCATATCATCAAGAGACTCAAATCCATCTCGGAAACCTTGCTCGCAACTGCGGAAGTAAATACGTGCACTTTTTTCGGATTTCTTTTTGTTTTTCAACGGACACGGGCATCGGATACGTGTGTAATTTTGAAATTAAATAGTATTTTAATTGGATACGACTTTGACGTATCCGACACATATCGGTGGTGTATCGGAGGCTATCCATGTATCTGTCTATCGGATACAACATGCCTTCATAAATAAGTGTATCGATGCAACATTGCATGCTCCTCTTTGAAGCCACCATTATTGTCCTGTCCACCATCCTACTCCTTTGCCATTGTTGCCAGCAAATTTTTTAAATGCATTTTTTTTTTTTTTTATTGAGAAAGAGGTTAGCTTTCTAAAATTGAGAAGATTGGGGACAACAAATGGCATCAATGATTGTTATGCATTTCATGACCTAAATATGCTAAGTGCTAAACAATAAAAAGTGCATGATTTTCATATTAAACTATAATTGTATGTTCAGGGTTATTTTATTAAATATCAAATTTTTTATTAATTTTTCCATTAAATCTATATGGGAGATGATAAGTGAAAGTCGTGTCTAAAGAGTATTTTTTTTTCTTTTCAACATTAGTGATAAGTAAAAAAAAATTGCTTTGATCGAACATGAATCTCGAGGCATATTTCAGTTGAAAACTTCTAAAATTAAATTTGGGATCATCTGAATTCCAATTTCAACAAACTTATAGTCAAACTAAACGTCCCAAAGAGACGAACCTAACGATATCAAAATCGATCGAACGCGAGCCCAAATGGGTCCAAATCGGGGGTCCAAACCACATTTGGAAAGATCAACGCATTATTTGGATGACAAAAATGATATCCAAATATGACATGTTTATAGTCAAATCGAGCGGCTCAGCAACACAAATCCAATGAGCCCAAGATTGCTAAATCCCGACATCGTCAAGACACTTAAACAATTGAAAATCTCTCTATGATCGGGAGAATCAATATGAGCCATTCGATGGAGCACTCCGAACGTATCTCAGATCTTCTCTATATTTACGAGATATGCCACTCACGAAAATTTATAAATAGACCACCACTTTCGACATGAAGGAAACATTTGACTAGAGATTGGAGAGAGCTCTGAGGCTTCAAGAGCTCCAGCTCGTCGAACTTCTGTTTCGCTATCATCGGACCACCACCTAGTCGTCGATCGCCATCAGACTTCCAACCGGTCGTCGACAGTAGCCAAACTTCAGCCCGACCGTTGTCAAACCACCGCCCAGGCGCGACCGCTGTAGGACTTTGACCCGACCGTCATCAGACAACCACCGGCCGTCAACTTCCTTCACACCACCGCCTGACTGCCGCTAGACTTTGGCCCGACTGTCGTCGATCCACGCCCATCCGTCGACCATCGTCAAACTTCTACTCGGTCGCCGACCTTCTTCAAACTTTCACCGGGCCGCTTTCAGACCTCCAACCGGTCGTTGACCGCCACTGGACTTCCTCCCGGCCGCCGTTGGACCTCCTCTCATGACCAATCATTGTTGGTCCTCCACCGGGCTGCCAAGTACGATCCCTGCGATCGTTGTCGCTCACCGACTGCGGTCATTCCGACCTCCATCGCCACACAGTGCTCTTTCTTACCTTCGTCGCTCGCTGACTATGGTTCTTCTGACATCCGTCGTCAGAAAACAGTCTTTCCGACCTCTGTGGCCCGTTGATTACGGTCCTTCCGACTTTTGTCGCTCGTCGACTACAGTCCTTCCAACCTCCATCGCAATACAATGATCTTTCCAACCTCTGTCGCCCATCGACCCCGACTACGGTCCTTCCGATATCCGTCACCATACAACAGTCTTTTCGACCATCATCGCCCGCCGACTACAGTCCTTCCAACCTTCGTTGCCTGCCGACTACGATCCTTCAACATCCGTCACCAGAAAATGCTCTTCCTAACCTCCGTCGCCATCGACTACGATTCTTCCGACCTTTGTAGCCTGCCAACTATGATCCCACCGACTAAACGATCATATCAATATTGTTCTTCCAATTTCCATCGTGTAATGCATTATATATGATGTATATTTGCTACAACAAACCAAAGTCTTTCACCAAAGGAAGGGTCTCATTTGTAATTGACTTCAAACATTAATGGAATAATTTCAACTATACTTGATCTCCATGATTTTTTTTTTTTCACTTTTTAGGATTTTTTCTCCATAAAAATCTTAGTGTCACTTATAACTCTGTCACATGTTCTCTTTATCTATATGTGTGCTGAATTTTCTAACTAAACTAAGATGTTAGATTTTATCTCTCTACCGCCGAATGTCGGGAACTTTTATTTGGTCCAATCACATGACGTAGCTCTACGTTCGGACGCCAGTAAAATAGTGCCACGTGTTCTCACAATTTACCGCGCGGCCCGACAACCCCGACCCGGAACGGAGACGGGATTGCTATGTTTGCGTGTTGCTAGGTATTGCTCGGTATTTGCTCGGTATTGATCGATTTTTGCTCGGCAATAACGAGAAATACCATTATGTGAAGAGCAATACCGAGCAATTCCGAGTTTTTCTCGGTATTGATCGATTTTTTCTCGGTATTGCTCGGTATCGGTCTTCAGAGAGCGATATTTTTCATTATTGCCAAGCAATACCTAGCAATACCGAGCAATACTTAGCAATACCGAGCAATACGCGAACATAGCAATCCCGGGTCAAGTTGTCGGGCTGCACGGTATTGAGTAAGACCACGTGGTGACCTATTATTGACGTCCGAACATAGAGCTACGTCAGGTCACCATATATGGACATGACAATTAGATTTTTTTTTTTCTAAATACAAATTTAAACTAAAAAATGTTATTCTTTCTTGAAACGTCTAAAATATATTTTGAATAAAAATACTAAAAACAAATTTATTTTAAGCTAAAGCCAAATCCTATACACTGCCTGAATCATTATGTAAGAATCGTGTAAGAAACATTCCTCAACAATGAATGTGATGCAGAACCATGTTGCTGATCTCGCTCGGGCGGCTTCTCTACGCTTCTTCCATCCGGAAGCAACCAAAACAAGGCAGAGACTTCCGAGGAAGAAAATCTTACCCAGAATGGATATGGATTACCAGAAGTGGGAACCACTTCTTGTATTTATAGCCATTGGCTAATCTTGTCTTTTTTCCATCGATCGGTTTTCCATCCTAGATGAAGCAAAGCGCCATGGGATATTCCTCTTCTTCGCTATCATTCTTTGGATTTTACGCTTTCTTTTTTCTCTCTCTCGTACTTCTTCAATCTCCGCCCGCCGCGAGCGCTCGCGTTATCCGTCTCCCGTCAAAGCCCGATCCAAAGGACGCTGTCGGCACTGCTCGCTGGCTCGCGGGGCAGAATTTCTGGGGCGTCCTCAGGTTCTTTTCATCTTCTATCTCTGATGCTTCCTTAGTCTCCATCTCTCAGATTAGTCTTTCGACCTAATTGCAATTGGTGGTATTTATTGTTGTTTCCAATCTGCTTGATTTGGTTCTTTTCTCGATTTGTTTGCAAAATTGTTGGTGGTTGCACGAACTTGTTGGAAGATAGCAGGACTATTTGGTTGTGTATTTATATAAATAAGTTAAGCAAGGAGAAATCAAACGAATTCAAGCTAAGCTTTTAAAGCTTAAACTTTATTTTGAGTTAAGCTGCGTGATTAGTAGAAAGATGGTTGATATAAGCTAGTTAAAAATGATGGATGCGGAAGGAGATGGCAGCTAAGCAAATAGAGCTTAAGCAAGGCTGGATATGCGCTTTGATTACCCTGCTTATCTCTAAGTGAGGAAAATCTAGGCTTAAGATTAAGCCGACTTCGACAATGACTCAAAATTGAGTCTCTTCGAAAAGAGAAACTCAAGCAAACTTGAGCTGATAAAAAAACCAGAAACAACTAGCTCGAGCATTTTTTTTTTCTTTTAAGCTTGGTTTGGGACAGCTTTCTTACTGCTTCTTAAAACAGTTTTCTAGTACAAAAATTTAAAATTTTTAACTAAAAATTCGCTTTAAGAAGCAGGAAGAAAGCCGTAAACCTAAATATGTTATGCTGTGATCAACATGAGCCTACATCGGATATGAAATAAGAATTGAATTTCTGATAAACTAGACTAGACTCGTACCAATTAGCTTTAAATTTTGGGTTGATTTATATCCCTCTGTTAGTGTATTGAGCTCAGTTTGCTAGTATCAGAGCTATCCTCAAGAGTGGATTGACTTCTATGTAGGCTCTTAGACTTTTGATGCATGGCATTTGCTGGTGCTGACAATTTGTCATTTAAGAAGCTGTGATGAATGAAGTAGTGCTCTCATGTGAGGGATACTGTTGTTGAAATTCGCATGAGAGTGGAGAATATTCAGACGCACATTGAATATAAAAATAAGAGTTTTTTTTTTTTTTAAATTTTATTTACTTATATATGGAATAAGAGTTCGAGTTTTGCTATATTAATGGTGACCCCTAACATTTAGCTCAAGTTTTTGGATTGATGAATATCCCTTTATTTGTAACTTCTTTACTAGGCTCAATTTTGATCACTAATGTGTCAACCTCCTACCAAATACTTCTTATTTGATGAAATTTCGGAAATTATGTTTACCTGACTTTTGGGTTCTCTATGTGGCAGCACAATTTCGAGCGATCAAGAAGGAGCTCCATTTGGGTAGTGTCAAGTGGTTCATATAAAAAATTCAGTACATGCTTCATATTTGTTACGAGTTGTTACAGCTCGCGGTTTTTATTTGTGTATTGATCAATATTTTTTTCATACTATGCAGAAATGTTGTTTCATTTAGTGATGGATTACCGGGTAATGGGAGTGGTATTCCATATTTTTATTTAACAGAATTAGACCCTACGGCAAGAGATGCTTTGAAGGATGCAAGATCATCTCTTACTTTAAGTGAGTATCCGCTTGGAACTTGTGGCAAGAGAGATCCTGAAAACCCAGCATGCGCTAAGCTTACTCTAACCGGAAAGGTTTGTAAATAATAAAGTTTAAATGGTTCTCTTAGTTGTAAACTTTTGTTTATGTCAAATTTAATGGCTCTATTAGCTGTAGCGTATCAATGATAGGTCCATAAGTTATGTTTAGCAAGCAACATGAGCAAACCCCTTCTTATTTTTGTTTTGTACAGAAGCTGCTCTCCTCAGTATTGATTTATTTTCACTTTTCAGATTCTATTTTATCTTGATTGCAATGTTTTCATCTACCCTTTCCAATGGCCTATATGTTATGATATGATGATCTGGAAAATTATTATTATTTTTACAAATTAAATATTAACTAATAAATGCTGGTGTACATTTTAGCATTTAACAAAAAAGGAACTTATTGGGATGTTTATTGGTTGCCCTTTTGTTATGTGTGATCACCCTTTGGATTGGTAGTGCTTGTTATAATTTTTTTTACAAAATTTGTTTGGGATGATGATAACTAACTGTTAGGTTTGTTTGGGAAGGAACTGGCAATTACATAGTTTATGCGAAATAGCTGGAGATAAAAAATTAGGAAGTTCTGAGGAGCTAGTTGAAGTTACTTCGTAAATTTTACTTCATCTGCAGAGAATATTGAACATTCCTGATGTAACTTTATTATTTGTAATGATATGAGTTTTCCCTTCTTGTCTTTTTCGTTCGCTTCATAGTTACTGCAATGCGACCATTTTATGTTATCTTTCGCATTGGCTCCTTAGTGGCATTCTTGTTTTCCTAGAAAGTGGTAATGTGGTTTACACAGCTCTCTGCAGACATTCTATAGAAAATATGTTGTGGCCTATATCAAAGTTTTATGATAGGGTGCGAATGAGGTTTCAAGTATTAAGTTTTCAATGGAGTAGTGGTACTCTTTAGATACCTTGTTGAAAGAGTTAGAAATCTTATAATTAAAAATGCCATATTGTTAAAACTATCATGGTGCCTGATGACATATTAATTTAAAATTAATTGATCTTTCCAATCATCATGTGGCACCCACCAAGTAACTTATTAAATTATACTTTCCAATACACCCCCCATCTCCACCACTAATAACAGCCTCTTTTAATTAGCGAAGAGTTTATTTTTGAGAATATAGAAGGCATCAATGTGGAAGGTTTTAGGAGAGTGCATAAGGATGAGAGAGTGAGATATTCCCCTTATTTTGGTGGATAGTTGTTGGCTAAGTGAATCCCAACTAATTATTGATAAATGATCCCCCATTGTTTTGAGCGAGAATCCCCATTATAGTTCTATTGATGATGGTTTTTAAATTCTATAACTAATGCACATTAAGTTCTATCATACTATATGTGGCATCTTGTCATTATGATTTGATGTTGTATACTTCATCATTGGTAGAACTAGGGAAGGGTTGGATATGGCCTTCACCCGTCTTGGTTTGAATAATGCCTCTTATAATTTGTTAGAATCTAAGGATACATTTTTGCTTAATTGGTTGAATATGAGATAATAATGCATTAATTCAAATTGTAGAAAAAGTATATATTTATAGCTAAAATAAATGAAGAATTAATACATGATTAATGGAAGGAAAATCAGAAAGGCGAGAATCGGCAGATTGCTGAGATGAATAATCATGATGCAGTTGATATAATAAGAGTGCACATATTTTTGAGACGGACAATCATCCTATGATTGATAATCTCAACACTCCTTGTTTAGGAACTTTGAGAGCTCCCAATTGGATACTCCTTTGATTATACTATTTGTTGGAAGGTCTTGATTCCAAGCAATACATCTTCTTGAACTGTAGGCAATTTAGGAACTGGAAGTTGTATAGATTTGATGAATTTGGAAATGGGAATTTGGATTTGAGAAATTTGGGAAGAAAGAGGAGATGGCGACAAACTTCTCGTCTTGGATTGCAATAGTTTATAGCGAGGGTCAAGAAACACTAGGTGAACACAAATGCTGGTGGGTCATGTTTTGGTCTTTATCGCCGAAGAGATGAAGTGCTTTTTGGTTCAGGTGGGGCTCCTTGGTCGACTAACAATGGTTGAACTTCTTTGGAGGTGGGCAATGGAGTACGGTCATTCCTTGCTTGATTCACTTCTTCTAAGGTATGCTGAGTTTTGATTTCTAGATTTGAAATATTTATGGTTTGAAATTTTGGGATGAATTTCGGGGCTTGGATTGCAAGGATTTTCAGAATCTTGTTTGCCTCTGATGTTATTTTAGAAATCAAACACTACTTCTTTTGCTTAATTGATTGGATATAAAATAAGAATTTACTTGTTTAAAATTGTAGAAAATTCATATATTTATGGGTGCTAAATGATGTCAATTACCAGTCCTAAAATTAAGGAAAAGAAACAATACATAAGTAATTAGATATAAATAAGGAAGGTGAGAATATGCAGATTGCTAAGATAATCATCTAGCGGTTGATATAATCATTGCACATGAATTGATGAGGTGGATAATCATCTTTTGGTTGATAATCTCAACATAATTATATATAATATGAAAGCTTTGTTTATAATCTTATTGTAGTTTAGTATGGAAGCTTTGCCACTTCAAAATTTTAGAAAAGTTCTTTTCCAATTCACGGTAAATCTTCATTTCACCACTGAATTGCATCTCTATTTAGTCACATGGCACTGACAAAGTGGTATCTACCTCTTATAATGCAGCTAAAATTGGTCGATACTTCATCTGCCGAAACTGAGTTTGCTAAGAATGCTCTGTTCGCTAAGCATCCTGAAATGCAAGGTACTACTCATGCCAACCATCTCCTGAAACACAAGAAAAGGCTTTTGTATGTAATTTTTTTTTTTTTGAACTTTTATTTGTTTGGCTGCAGACTGGCCAAGTGGTCACGACTTCAAAATTTTCAGATTAGACATTGAGAATATATTCCTGATTGACTGGTTTGGTGGCCCCAAGCCTATAACTCCAGCACAATACCTCGAAAATGGAAAGTGAGTTGGAATTATTATTCTATAATGTTTTGACATATTAAATTTATCTGTAGGCGATTAAGAGAACTGTTATAGAGGACAAGTAGCAGGTATGTTGTTTTTTATCTAATGCAGCTCATTCACAAACTACTATTTTCTTCTTGTCAGGAACGAAAAATACTTCCCTCTTAATTTGCTGACATAAAATTTCTCATATCCGTTGCCAACGGTCTTAAAGATCACTTGGTCTAAGTTATGTACAGTATGTTTATGCCTGTATCTATTGCTGTAATCATATTTACAATTGTCGAATGTAATTTATTCTGTGAAAATTTAATGAATAAGTGCTGACTAAGTTGGAAAATTGCCATTTCTGTATCAATAAGGTGCTCCTTTTACATTAAAAGAACAATATTCTTCATGCAATTGTCTTTCCAAACTTCAATTTATATCTTCTTCTCGCTTGTCAATTCTGTTCTTACTTGTGAGATATGGTTGCCTTCATCTTAAAATTATTACCAAGTTTCTTTTCTCCGTTGCTGCCAGTACATGTGATTGCAGCTAATTATGTTCATCTAAGCTAAGCTCCTTAATAATTTTTTGTCCGAGATCTATCATCTTTGTGGAAAAATCAATCTACAACAATTCCACCTCCATCAATATTCCATTGAGCTCATCGGTCCTCCTTACTCACTTTATGCCACCTTGATTTATGAGATTAATATTGTCACTGTTAGGATCTTGGAGGAAGATGAGTCCTGTGAGGGAGAGAGGGAGGGAGCGGCTGTTTGAAAGAAGAGAATAGGAACCAAATCTTATTGATTATTGGCTTAGTATCCGTATTACAGACTATTGCACTTAATTTATAAACACCAAGCACAAAACAAAGCTATACAAGAATCTAAAGGAATTACAATGGAAAAACTAACTAAAATTTGTATCAAATTCTAACAATCTCCATCTTGATCTAGATTTTACAAACTGTCTGAATCAATCCACTCATCTCCCAAATCTACCACCACTGCTAAGTTGGGGTCTTCTTTGAGCCCAGCTCCTTGCAATTTCAACAGGCAATTTCTCTTGAAATGTCCCTCTTTATGGCAATAGAAGCTCTTCTTGCTGAACTTGTTACCTCTGAACTCTGGTATTCCTCTTGCAATCAGAATTGTGCCAAGATTTTCTTCATTATTTTTATATTTTCTCTGAACATCATTTTTCATCAAGACAGATTTTTCCTCGGTCATTGTCAATGTTTGCTTCTTATATAAAATAGTGTCAACTATGTGCTCATATGTCTTCGGCAAAGAGCTGAGGAGTATAATTCCTTGATCTTCTTTGTCTATTGTCACATCGACATTCTTGAGATCAAGAATTAGCTTATTAAAACCATCCATATGTTTTCTAAGATATTTGGACTCCTACATTTGAATTGTGTACAATTGTTTTTTCAAGACCAATCGATTTGCAAGGATCTCTTCAGATATAGAGATACTTCGTTCCTCATAAAGGAATATTATTGTTAAGTTTCATTGAATGAATGAGTACTACGAGCAAGAAACCCATTAAACGTCTGTTGAATTCCTTCAATTGAACTCAACTGCTTGTAAAGTATTAACCAAATTCGGAAATTTAATACTATTCGGAAATTTAATACTAAAGGTCAAATTCTCCTCTCACAAGTTCCTCTTTGGCTACTTTGTGCTTTAATAACCTCTCAAAATTTTAAGCAAAGAGATGGGTGTATGTGAGTCAAGCCTACTCAATCTTGACTCGATAAATGGCTCACATGGTCAAGTTTGATGAGCTAACAAATCAAATTTGAACAAACCCTGACTCGACTCGTTAGCTCGCGAGCTAGCACGTTTAAAAATATTAACATAAAATGCACTTAAAATATATTAATATTTAGGATTTTAAGTAATTTTTTTAATGTTTAAAAATTATATCTTACTTCCTTATTTAGTGACTATTTATTATGTTTCTTCTATTTTTTAAATTTTTACCATTTTATTACATTAATTATTTCAATCATAATAATTTTGTCTCGTTAAAAATTGATATATCCTCAAAAAAATTTCTTGATTGGGCACGAATCGTGAAGCAAAATCGAGCCGGAAACTTCCAAAATTAAATCTAGGATCACTTGAAATCCGATTTTAGCGAACTTACAGTCAAACTGAGCGTCTCAGAAATACGAACTCAACAACACCAAATTCAACTCAATCCGAGCCTAAATGAGTCCAAATCAAAGCACACGAAGCGTTGTTGGAAAGTTCAAACCATAATTTGAGTTATCAAAGTGTTTCCAAATATGACGTTCTTATAATCGAATCGAGTGGCTCGACGAGACGAATCTAACGAGCCCAAGATCGTCGAATTCCGACATCATTAAGACCTTCAAATGTCTGACGAACGGTGCACGATCAAGGGATTCAATATCGGCCGTCCATTCAACCAATCCCTATTTACCCCTGATCTCATACCTATTTACAAGATATGCCACTCCAGAATATCTATAAATAGACATCTCATTTCTCATGAGAGAGAACCCAAGCAAGAAGAAGAGAAGAAGAAGGGAAGAAGAAGAGAAGGATATGAGAGAAGAACTCCTCCTCGACCACGCCAGAGTTCTGCCCGACGTCAGAATTATGCCCGACTTCCGAATGACGCCAGAGTTCTGCTCGACGCCAGAATTCTGCCCGACTTCTGAACGACGCCAGAGTTCTACCTGAAACCCAAGTGACGCCATAGTTCTGACCGACGCCGGAATTCTGCCCGACTTCCGAACGATACCAGAATTCTGTCCAACTTCTGAACGATACCCGAATTATGCCCGACCTCCGAAGGACGCCATAATTCTTCTCGATCTCCAAGTGACGCTGGAACTCTGCCCGACGTTGTAATTGGATCTCAATCCGAAAGTGAAACATTGTAAACTGATCGTCCTAAATTTTAAGGACTAATCGGCTTCTTGTACTTCAAACAAACACTAGTTGAATTATTTCAAATGGACGTGGCCTCGTGGGTTTTTCCCTTTCCAGGGTTTTGCACGTAAAAATCCTAGTATTTCTATTTCTATCATGTTTGTGTGCTAGATATCCGTATAATATTGAGACGGAAACTTTCCAATTATATCGCCACGTATATTCTAGTCCGCAACAAAAATAAATGAGCCAATTCGAGCTCATAAAATAAAGCTTAAATTCACGCTTGAGTTTGAACTCAATTAATTAATCAAGCTCAAATCAGAAATACCTCAAACCCGACTCAACCCGTTTACACTCCTCCAAGAGATTCTATATCAAAAGTCCTTAATTTTGCACTAATAAAATTATGCATTATATAATCAGCACCAAAAAGAAATTCGAATCATTTTTTCAATAATTGAAAGGTCTAAATAGTCTTTTGTTCATATTGAAAAAGGTGCACAAAGATGAAATTTCACGCCTCCTATTCTCGAAGCATGAACCGGTGAGATATAATAGTTTCTGGAAGCTTCCCACGTCATGACCATAGTCTTATCTCTTTCTTTCAAAACAGTATAAGCTAATCATCTAATTTTAGTAAGCTCAACGTCACTTTGTTTTTAAATAAAGAGTGGGTTTTAAATGCCCACGCAAGCTCTAACCCCAACTTCTTCATCTAATGGCTGAAAAAATATGAATAATAAAAAAAGGTCATCTTATATATTTGATGTAGGCAAGGAATGGGTCAAAACAAGTTGAGTTGAAAATTTTATAAGTTTTACTTGAATCAGCTCATTAATGAGCTTCTTCTTATGTTTCAAGCTCATAAATGATTTCCTCTACTAGATATCAGCTCATTAATGTCTAGTAGAGAGTCTTTTTAGCTCATAAATTGAGGTTCATTCCCCCATTTGTTGTCCCTTTGGTTCCCGTGGATGGCTCTTTGGTTCCCGTGGATGGTTCCTTGGTTCCCGTGGCTTGACCCTTTGGTTCCCGTGGATGGCTGCTGGTTTTCCCGTGCTTTGCCCCTTGTTTCCTGTTTCGAATGGGGGCTGCTATGCTGGCTGTTCGGGCCTCCTGCTGGCTTTCCTGTGGCTGTTTGCTTGGGTTTTCTTGGCCTTTTTGTCCATGTTTTCTGCACCAAATGAAGGCTGTTGTTTGGTGGCTGTTTGGGGGGGAATTCCAAGAGTTTTTCTCTGTTTTCTATGCAATTTTCCTGTAGAATTCATGCTATCTTTTGGCCTTCTTCTTGGTGACTTATGGCCTTCTATTTCCCTATTTTAATGGATTTAATATTGCTTTTAGGTGACTGTTTGTATTCATTCTTTTGTGCCTATAAATAGTGATGTTTGTGGCTGTTTTAAGTAAGTGAAAATGTGATTTTTGGAAGCTATAACCCGCGGGTTTCATCGTGGAAAAGCTTGCGAGCTTGTTCCATTCTCCTTCTCCTCTAGGAAAGCTTGCGAGCTTCTCCTCCTCCTTCGTCTTGGCTTCTAACCTCTTTCATCTCTCCGCAATTGACCACCTCACCTGTATCCCTCTTCTTTTGGAAAGCAAGTTTATGTTGTCTTGTTTGAGTCGTTTGTAAGAGTCTTTATTTGTAAGTCGTTTTAATTTAAGAGTTGTAAGTCTTTCATTTTATATAAGTAAAGTTTGTTTTGATCCTATTTTGTGTCCTTTTGTGTCTTTTCTATTACTTAGAAAAGTTCTTTCTTTTGTGATAAAAAATTTGGGGCCCTCTCCCAAATTTTTGATTACATCAATATTGGTTGGGAGTTTTAATTATCAACAAACAGGTCTTAAATTTAAAGCTTGCATACATAATGTAATAACCCAAACTCTTAACTATCGGGCTGTTTGGCCTAAGAGCCTCACGGTTTTGTCCGGGTGTAATTTCCCAGTAGATCACCCATCCCAGAATTATTCCGGGATGAGCACGCTTAACTGGGGAGTTTCTTAATGAAATTTCTTCAATTACACCAAAAAGCGTCTCAATGTTTAAGAGTTAAGCTTTCTTTTACTTAAGAGTTCTACATTTAATGTGTGTGTGAGTTTGCCTAAACTCATCTAAATGTCCCACAAAAAAATGTGATAAATTTTCAAAGATATAAGTTCTGCGTGCTCACCTGGATTTGTTGGTTGAGAGTTTTGTTTAATCAAAAAGACTTGAATTTATATTTTAATTATGTGATGTGTGTATAAGTTTTTTTTTTAATGGGCCTAAATGTAAAAAAAAAATAAAAAAATATGTTGTCTTTTTCAGAAGTGTTTCTTGGGAGTTTCACAATAATTGAAAATTCTTTTATTTTTTCTTTCTAAGTTTGGTTCTGCTATGAGTTTAGTGTTATTCTAAGGGGCAAGTATGTGCTACCAAATCTGCTTGGTACAACATTAAAATTATTGGCCTTATTCCAACATATTTATTATTATATTTGCAATTATTTATGAATTATATTTTATTAAATTGAGAATATTGAGTGAGAAAGAAATTTGAAAAATAGAGAAAAGATGAAGAATTATTGAGTAAAAAGTTTTAAGATTCCAGTGAAATGACTATGACAATAGAAAAGTTATGTAAATTGAGCTCACCATCCCTCCACCTTCTATATATATACAATTGGGTTGATGTTTGATCATTAGAGAATTGGTTGCATACATTATCAACAACTAAGTGTATATTGATAATCGAGTAGCCGAATAACTAATCAATAGTCAACCTTTAGAGACCATCTTTCCTTAAGAAATCGGCATGACTGACTTCATAGATAATACTTATTAGGGCCGTCTGATAAGCTGACTAAGATAATTCTTAGATCATAGCCGTCTATTTGAGACATTCTCTTGTAGACTAATGCGTCTATATAAGCTTTATTTTTTATGAATATTGCTCCTTCACTGAAACCCAAGCGATGGAGATAATTTATTATGTAAAGAAAAAAAAAATTGCCCATTTTAATCTTTATGAAAGATAAAATAATCCTTAAAATAGGAATCAAAATAATTCTAGACTAAAATGATTCTTTAAGTCTAAATTATTTTAGACCTTCATAAAGAATCAAACGATCTTTTCTTATTATATAAACAATGAATTTTTTTTGCTTATAATCATATGGTTGTGGGCATTTTCGGGAAAGTATATTTACTGGTCTTAATAGAGCTATTTTTGGTCAAAAATATACAACGCTGAACATTTCATGTTTCAACAACCTTATAATATAATTGATTAATTCTTGCCAGAAATATTTTATATCGCGCACAACAATTCCAAAAAAAAGTTTTCTTTACCATCTGATTTGATTTTTATTTCAATTAACTTAAACTTGTCCTATGAAGTCAACTTACGTAGCATAAAGTTATTTATGATTTCAGACTTATTTATTTAGACCTGGAAAAACATTTATTTACTATTGTAAATTTTGCACAATTTGAATATGGGCTGTGGTTAATTAATTCATAGATTGAATTTAATTAAATTGAGATTATACATCACACTAAGGCTTCATTTGGGGCTGCTTTCTTTCTGCTTTTTAAAGCATCCTCCTAGTACAAAAAATTTACTTTTATACTAAGAAGCTGCTTTAAGAAGCAATAAGAAAGTCGTCCCAAACGGGCTTCATTTGAGATAGAGATAACTTTCATAATTCTTTATAAAGCAGATTTTTAACACAAAATTTTTTGAAAAAAAAAATTGTAATAAAAAACTACTTTAAAAAATAGTAAGAAAAAAATTATAAATGATTCCTAATGTTGCATTTGGGATTAGCTTTTGACCATTATTTTTTTGAAGCTTTTAAGAATTTTTTTTTTAATTATTGTATAAAATAATAAGAACTAGAATGAAGCATGATATTTATCTGAATTAATGAAATAAAATTGATTAAATTGATCAAAATTAATACCGGCCTTGAAAAGCGTATGAAACCATCTTATTGCCCAATTTTCATCCTATTGGCATGTTAGTTAGCGGATTTCGTCCATACTCACCTAAATAGCTTCATGTTATGCATATTGAATCAAACTGAAAGGTCCTTAATTAATGCATCTACCCTTTTTTGCATGAGCCACTCACAATTTAAACAACTTCTGGAAAAGAAAAAATAGTAATAAAAAATACCGAAATGAATATAGAAAAACAGTATCAAAATTTTAGAGAAAATAGAACAAATCTCAGCATGCAGATTTCGTCCAATTAAGTGCGGGTCAAGAGGTTTCTAAGGAGGGTGCCTCTTCTAGGTGAGCTGAGGATTAGTCATGACGCCAAACATCATTTCGGGAGTGACAACGAGTACCTCATTTCAAAAAATAAATAAATAAATAAATAAATAAATTTTAATTTTATATTCCTTTTAATGCACATAAACCTCACTATAAAAATAAATTATCATAATAATCTCCTTTTAAATTAATGTGAGAAATACTTCCCCCAACCCCTTCTACCAAAGCCCAAAGAAAAAGACCACATCTCCTATTTGACCAAACGATTAGTAAAACTTTGAAATTTGAAGTAATATCAAATTTCTATCTTCTACCAAAGTACTAACTGCTCTCTAAACTAATATCATTAAATATATTGACTAACACAGAACATATATTTATCTCACCTTAATCCTCTCCCAATCTTAACTTCCAAATAGCATCGATGCCTTTCACAACAACAGTACTAATCACAACCTTCCTCCTCCTGCTCTGCTTCACCCCTCCCTCCTCCTCCTCCTTCCCCTTCTCCTTCCCTTCCAACCCATGGAGCCTCTTCCAGAATCTCACCGGCTGTAACCCTGGCGATTATAACCCTCTCCTCCCTAATCTGAAATCCTACCTCCACCGCTTCGGCTACCTCCCTTCCCCTGTCTCCAACTTCTCCGACCTCTTCGACTCCGATCTCACCGCCGCCCTTCTCTCCTACCAGCGCAATCTCGGCCTCCCTACCACTGGCTCTCTCGACGCTAACACCCTCTCCGTCCTATCACTTCCCCGCTGCGGAGTCCCCGACATTACCCCCAACTCCAGCGGCCGCGGTCGCCATCTCTACTCCTACTTCGCCGGAACTCCTTCCTGGCCCTCAGACAAACGCGTCCTCACCTACGCCCTCACCGATACCTCCTCCATCTCCATCGATAGACGAACCCTTCAAAACGTCTTCGCCCGTGCCTTCGCCCGTTGGTCGGCCGCCACCACGCTTAATTTCACCGAGGTTTCGCCTCCGGACTCCGATTACGCTGACATAACAATCGGGTTTTACCGCGGAGACCACGGCGACGGGGAGGCGTTTGATGGGGTGTTGGGGACGCTGGCGCACGCCTTTTCGCCGACGGACGGGCGGTTCCATCTAGACGCGGCAGAGGCTTGGGTGGCGACAGGGGATGTAACGGCGGCGGAGGAAGAGAACGCAGTGGATTTGGAGTCCGTGGCGGTGCATGAAATAGGACATTTGTTAGGGTTAGGACACTCGTCCGCAACGGAGGCGGTGATGTATCCGTCGTTGAGGACGAGGACGAGGAAGGTCGAATTGATGAAGGATGATGTGGAGGGGATTCAGGGGTTGTATGGGGGGAATCCGAATTCTGGGGTGGAGTCGATGCGGAGGAGTAGCCCCGAGACAAGCGGTGGAGTGCCGGAGCGGGCGGCGTTGACAGTAGTGGCGCTGGTGGCGACGGCGGTGGCGTCTATTCTAACTGAGTTCGTCTTGTAGGAGTTTGGATTGATTGGTAGTTGGGACATTCAGAAACGATTGGGAATTCCTTTTGACCTTTGCCCGGCTGGGCGGTGCGGCTAGTTGGGAGCTTGGATGAGTTAATTAGCTTTACATTATATAATAATTATTTAATTTGATATTATTTTTTAATAATAGCTTTTAAATATTATTTATTTATTTTCTTGATCGTAGCACGATGATGATTGCATAAATACCTCATATATATTTATTTTTTTACTCTCATTTAGTTGTATATTATTTAAATGTTGTTATATAAATAAAATTCAACAAAACAATCCTTTAGGCCATCTCCAACGGAACGCATCTCCTAAACCCTAAACTCTAAATCCTAGATCAGCATTTGTTGTCCGCAAGCTGCTCTTGAAAACGAAAGTATGCGATATTATTGTATTTTTGAGTGGAAAATGAGTTTTTCGGCTTAGGATGCCCTTACTCCTTAGCATGTAGTTTTTATGTAGATTATCTTTGCGTAATCATAGAGCGAAGAATTTTAATGAATTTTTGAAACAGTTTTTCAACAAATAGTTTGAATTGTAGAAATATAGAGTAAGTTGCAGATTTTGTTTGTAATGTATAAACTCAATAAAAGTGGGAAAAATCATCATCAAGCAATTTATAATATTTGTAAGATTGCATTGATAAAATGGGTGAAGGTCCCCAAGCATTAGTATGACTAAACTCAAAATATTGAGTAGTTTTGGTAAATATAAAAAAAAAGGTAAATGTGTACATTTTGCTTATAGGGAGAGAGGCTGAGGGCAACTGTTGAGTAGTCAAAGAGGGGTGTTAGAGACATTGATGCCAAAAATTAGAAGTGGTTTGGGAGGTGAAAAATTTTGTAGATGAAGCCGAAAAAGGCTACCGGCAAATTAAATAGTGTTGCCGAACTAATAGTGTACAAACCGTGAAGATTGAGACCTTGGAGAAGTATCTTGTTGGTCAGGATGTCCTTAATAATAAAGCCATGAAAATAAAAAATAATATAGCACGGATTGTCAGAAGTTAATTTATGAATTGAGTGAAGATTGTGAGATAGATTGAGAACATGAAGAATATTAGGCATTAGAAGCTTCCGAGTTGGTGTCGGAAGAATGCCTTGACCTGATTGAGCTATTGGAAGAAGCTAATCGTTGCTGACTTGAACTTGAGAAGAACCGAAGTATGATTGATGAAAGTGCAGCGGGGTTGAAAGTAAGATTGTTTGAAGTTTTGGAATCCAAAAATCAGTCAGCATTGGATGAAGTTTCAGAAGCCAGGTAAGCTTGTGGCAATGACTGAAATGGGAGATCTGTTCAATGGGAAACCGTGGATAGCAAAAACAACCATATGTTTGAAGTTGGCTATAATCTCGTGGGTGTTGATATAAACACTCATAGGTGGACTTATTGTGGGAAAATTTAGAAGGTAATTGTTGATGATGTAAATTGCTGTATGAAGTGTATCCACCCAGAATTCAAAAGGTAAATTAGAGTCAAACAATAGAGACAAAATTAGTGTTGACCAATTAACCAGCCAAGAAAGGCTTTGATTTTTTAGAGAAAGCTAAAAAATATAACCTTACACTGCCTATACATGAACCTAGCATAGTCATCAAGATGCAAAGTCGTAGTTAAGTTGTAAAACAATGTCAATAAAGTACACTTTTAGAAACTTACCAATGAATACCCTATGCATTTAATTCATCAATTTAATAATGGTATTGAGTTTGATGGGCAATCTCAAAGACAACATATTATTTTGATAATCTAGAAGGTGTCTTAAATGATATTTTATATTATTTTTAAGACAAATTAGAATTTGATGGTACCCATTACGGAGATCAATTTTTTATAAATATATTAATCCATTTAAGACAAATTAGAATTTGATGGTACCCATTATGCAGATCAATTTTTTATAAATACATTAATCCAATTATCATGTCGAACATACTATCCAATCTAAGTACAGAAAAATTGCAATTTGTAAAAAATTTATTTATTATGTGATTATCACAATATTTAGACTAAGTAATATCTTTTTTTTATGTCAAAATTGTGGAGGCAACATAACCTTTCTTATAGAAATCCTTTTTGAAGTATTCCATTTATCTAACATTTGAGCCCAACATGCTTTGTGATGTTGTTGTATATTAGGGTAAAATTGATTACTAGGAACACCTTTTAATCATTAGTGTGTTCTCATAGGAGGAAGTCTATGAGGTAGTCATTAAGAATAGATTTTTCAAAGTGAATTTTGATATTATTGAAATTTTGGAGGTTTGTGTTGAGTTAAAAATTAAAAATGAAGTCATTCCCTAAAATGATAGAAGACATTAATATAAAATATTATATATTCCATGAAGAGATCTCCTATGGAAGTTGTAGGAAGAGTATTGAGATACCATCGTTAGTTCGATGTTGACTTGACTAGAGATTGGGTGATCGACAAGAAATTCTTCTTATATTAGTTATTAATAGGTGTTCGATTTTGACGTCTAGAAAGTATTGGGCAGATAATGAATGTTAGGCTGGCAATAATGAATGATCAACTTAGTTGCTATCTTATTAGGAGGGGAGAACAAACGATCGAGATTATGTGTGCCAAATGTTAGTGAATGTGAATGTCGGACATTGGTCATTCATAGATGTTGAGTGATGGCTAAAGAATCTTGTATATTAATCATTAGTTAATGTTAGGTGAAGTTCAAAATTTGAGCAATGGTTGACTTGGTCTTTGTTTTGATAGATGGGAAGAACATGTGATTGGAAAGAAGGGCATTGAACATTAATGGCAGACAGAAATCGATCATTAATGGTCATTAGTAGATGTAAATGATATTTGATAGGAAACATTAAAATTTCTGTGACATTCCATAGTTGGCTTGATTGTTCTCCTGATAAGAGATGAGAATAAGCAGTTGTTGGGAAGACAGGCATTTTATGTCAATGGCCAACAAATATTGATCATTAGTAGACATCACATGCTAGTCAATAAGGAATGTTAGATTGGCTTATTCACACTCTCTGATATATCATCAAAAAAAAAAATTATCTTGATCGAGCACGAAGCTCGAGGCAAAATCAAGCCGGAAATTTCAAAAATTAATTCTTGGATCATCTGAACTCCAATTTCAGCAAACTTATAGTCGAACTGATCGTCTCGGAAATACGAACCCAACGACACCAAATTCAACTCAATCCAAGCTCAAATGAGTCCAAATCAAGCACCCAAAGCACTATTAGAAAGTTCAAACCGCGATTTTAGTTACCAAATGGTTCCCAAATATGACGAGCTTATAGTAGAATCGAGTGGCTCGATGAGATGAATCCAACGAGCCCAAGATCGCCGAATTTTGACATCATTATGATCTTCAAGTGTCTGACGAACGGTCCATAATCAAAAGATTCAATATCGGCCGTTCATCCGAACCACTCCATATTTGCCCCTAATCCCTCATCTATTTACAGGACATGCAACTCCAGAAAATCTATAAATAGACACCTCATTCCTCTTGAGGGAAGACCCAAGCGAGAAGAATAGAAGAATTAGAGAAGAGAATGATAGAAGGGAATAACTCCTCGACCACCGCCGCCGGAGTTTTGCCGACGCCGGAGTTCCGCCCGACGCCGAAGTGACACCGGAGTTCTGCCAGACTCAAAAGTGACGTCAGAGTTCTGCCCGACGCCGAAGTGACGTTGGAGTTCTGCCCGACGCTAAAGAAATGCCAGAATTCTATCCAATGCCCAAACGACGCCGGAATTCTGCCCAACTTCTGAACGACGCTGAAACTCTGCCCGACATTGTATCTTGATTTCAATACATAAGTGATTCATTATAATCTGATCGTCCTAACAGTTACGGACGAGTCAACCTCTTGTATTCAAGCAAACACTAGTAGAAATCTTTCAACTGGGCGTGGCCCCGTGGTTTTTCCCCTTTCAAGATTTTCCACGTAAAAATTCTGGTGTTATTATTTATCTTATGTTTGTGTGCTGAATATCCGTGCAACGCTAAGACGAATACTTTTTAACTCTACCGCCGCACATATTCTAGCCCGCAACACTCTTATACTCGAAGCCTTTACCTTTTTTTTTTTTTACTCGAAGGCTTTACTACCATACAAGTGGAGTCATAAAAATGTGCTTAAAAAATTAACAATTTTATATGTGCTTATTGGGTCGAGTTATAGAACATCTCATATTATATATGAAAAATATGATTCATTTATTTAATACATAACAATATAAATATGACGTCCGCACAATCGTATGCTTGAAGCCTAATATTTATACGACTCGAAGTTCTTTGGACTAAAATAAATACTTAGTGCCTTTTTATTAAAAAAAAAAAAAGATCATTACTCTATTAAAGCATGCGTGACTTAGATTTCATTTTGGACTTTTTACTGTTACTTAAAATAAACATTTAGTATAATATATGAAATTTTTATATTAAAAAACTGCTTTAAAAAATAATAAGAAAATCGTCTACGCTTTGTTTGGGATGACTTTCTTAATGCTTTTAAAGCAACTTTTTATTACAAAAATTTTAATTTTTATTCTATAAAATAGCTATAAAAAACAATAAAAAAAGTCATTTCAAACAAAGTCTTATTGTGCTGTATAATATGTTCTATATGACAAAAAAAACTAATAAGATAAATTATAGCTGGAAAAAAAGGGGAACTTGTCCAGTTGCATCATTGATGATGTCTGAAAGAACCTTTTTATCCAATCCATCAAGTAAAATAAAGATATCTCAAAATTCCATCATCAAAAGAAGCTTCCTCTCACAAAACTGACCAACAAATTCAACCAACATTAACGTGTCAAAGGCTTTTATAAATTCAATTCAAACAAAGACCAGCCGGCGGCCTCTCTTTCTACACCTTACACTTTATAAATATGGCCCTTCTCCTCTTGTTCAGCTCATCTCAATATCTCTTTCAAATTCTCTGATTCTCTATTTCCTTCTATAGAGTTATCCATGGAGGGAAGCACCCCCTTTGAGAACTCATGGGCTGATCAGTGGGACTACGGCGATGATCCGGTGCCGACGAAAAAGGCCGGCAGTCAAGCAAAGAAGAACGGCGTTGAGAAGACGAAGGCGGCTGCCGCCACCGGGTTGAAGAAGGTGAAACACGGCACCACCGTTGGCTTCAACTGGATCAAGGACAAATATCAGA